TCCGAAACTCAACACGATGCAAGCCAGATATGAATTGATCGAAGAAGGATAGATTTACCATCACTGTGGATAAGAGTCATACTGTAGCTCAGTTGGTTAGAGCATTGCTCGCGAATAGCAAGGTCCCTGGTTCGAGTCCCGGTGGTGTGACTGATGATTTTTTCTTTCTTTCATATCTGGCTTGGAAGTGTTGAGTTTCGGAGAGAAAAGAGCAGTAGGTGGCATGTGGCCTCTAATTTCCTAAAAATAATAATAATAATAATAATATGAAACTGGGATGTTGAGCCATGAATAAATGTAGATGAGAAAAGAACATATGGATACGAGTTAAGAGTAACTCTCCATCACTGTAACATGATACTTAATACAGTCAGAAAGTGCAATAACTAGGCACAAAACTGACAGAGTACTGAAACATTCGACGTCCTGACACCTAGCTTCAACACATCTCCGTAGCGCTAACCGACAGCCTTCCAACTTGGAAGGTTCAAGGTTATGGAAAGACCAAAGAGGGGAAGGCAAGCGCAACGAAAACGAGCAAAAGCTACAGTCCCAACGGAACAAAGTATGTCGATTGTTACTGGACGATGACGAGACCAGTACGATATTTGACAAAGCGGTCTAACTACAATTCGAAGCAGCAAAGCAGCACACCACCCAACTTGGGTGGGTCATAATAATATCAAAGATAAGTAAAGAAAGGGAAGCTTTGCGAAAACGAATTGTACAAGCCGAAAGCCAAACTCCTACAGTACTCCTCATGCATGACATTGTGATGGACTAGTTGACTACAAAACAAGTTGTTTCACACGTGTTGAAGCTAGGTGTCAGGACGTCGAATGTTCAGTACTCTGTCAGTTTTGTGCCTAGTTATTGCACTTTCTGACTGTATAAAGTATCATGTTACAGTGATGGAGAGTTACTCTTAACTCGTATCCATATGTCCTTTTCTCATCTACAATAAAAATAATAATAATAATAATAATAATAATCTTCACTAGTTTGAGGGAAAGAGACAAACGGGAAATAATAATAACAATACTAATAATAATGGCACTTGGGTCTTTTTCCCTCCCCCAGGGGACCAACCACCGTCAGTTTCTGGAAACTACCAGAGGTGAAAGAAAGTGAGTCAGTATGTGTGGCACGTGTTGTGAGCTGCCTTTGGAGTGAAAGACTTGTCAGCGCCTTCTAGGTTCAGCCTGGTCCCATAGCTCAGTGGTTAGAGCATTGCTCATGACAAGCAGGGTCCCAGGTTCGAGTCCTGGTGGGTCTGGCGTTTTTTCTCTTTTCAGGCAGTTCACTTCCCCGACTGATCCTTTGAATATGAAGTTCTCCCAATCCTTTCCAAATAATAATAATAATAATAATACCACAGCACGCGTAAAAAGGCCAAAGAACAATGCATGAGAATACACTGAAATTAAGCCAAGTCCGCTTCTGTCTCCAGTCAACAAAAAACTCATCCATAAACAATGTCTGATCTCCATTTCCACTTGTCTGCAGCAAATGCTCGTGCTCCTTCTAGGTCGCTGGCATTCTTCAAAGGAATGTCGTGCCCTGCCAGGTCCTTCATGATGGTGGTAGGGAGAGTAGCCGCGGGACGGGCCCCTTCGTCCACGTGACCCCGCTTGAAAATAGCAGGACATCGCAAGGCAAGGGGTGACTGCTCACTCATCCTCAGCACATGGCCAGTGAGGCTACGGCGTCGCTTGGCAACAAGCTCCGACAGTGGCTGAGAGTCACATCTGGAATACAGATCATCATTCGTAATTCTGTCTGGATATCGCACTCCCACCAGGTTTCTGAGCTGTCGGCGGTGAAAACAGTCCAGTCGCTGAGAGACTGCCTGGGTTACTCCCCAAGTCTCACAGTTGTAAAGGAGGACAGGCAGCACAAGCAAGCTGTACAGCTTGAGCCTGGACATAGTGACATAGTGTTAAAAAATATACTAACTGAGTGCAAACACGGAGCATTGGGTGATACAGTGCATGTTGTTCGGACCCAACACTGGCGCCCAACGTTTCTCGACGCGGAGTTCTGCCTCCGCAGCTCACAACCGTGAGATATGATTTACGTGTAGTGTTGCTCCCGTCACTGCTGGACTGTCCTTGTTTATTCGTCACCCCTGTCCGTGTTCGTCGTGGAGCTGTGTCGTCGTGCTGTGTCGGCGCGCGGTGTCGGCGCGCAATGTCGTCCTAATTCATACTCAACATTGGCGGCCGACCATTGCTCGGAACCCACGACCCTCGTCCTCTACCGCCCGGCATTTGTCTCGTCGTCAGTCTCATCTCGTCTCTGTCAACCTCGTCTTGTCTATGTCTACCTCGTCTCGTCCAAGTCATGCAGGTCAGCTATTTTCATTATTTCTCTCTCTCTCTCTCTCTTATTCGTGCGTCCTACATTGTACTTCGTCAAATTTATTTTCGGTTTATTTATTTCGTGATTTTTGTAGTGTGTTTGTGTGCGCGCGTGTTTCCAGCCATCAATATTAGGGGTCCGTTGGTGAGCCACGCTCTATCATTCTGGTTGCAAAAAAGTGCATAACTAAGCTGTTTAGCCATGCAATTCAGCGAAGCAGAACAAACTGTAGTGCATGTAACATGTGGCCCAGAATCTGCGAAAACCAGGCTTAGGGTGAAATTTCACAAAATGACTTTGTCCCATTTTCAGCTTCTACCGGGCATGGGAGGTCAGGAGACAAAATATTACAGGTGTGGGTCGACTCATAGTGGTACTAAAAGTATCTCAAACACACCAGGGTATTGTGTTAAAAAATCCAAAAAAAAACACAAAATTGTTAGCACAGGAAAGAAATGAAGAGAGACCCACCAGAGTGAAGGAAGAGACATGGATGATTTTTGTTTAGGTGACATGACAAGGTAGGCATGTGGGGGCAGGCTTGTTGTGGCCCCTTGGTGCTGCAGGCTGCAGTGGCCATGCACAGTTCTGCATGAATTTTGTTTCCTCCTCACTCAGCACATTCTGGGGCTGCATACATGTACTGGCATGCTCTGGCGCTACACACCACAAGGAAACCCGACTCCAGTTGAGATGGCACCTTTTGAAGGGTGAATCTAGTACAACTATTCAATAACAAGCAAGAACACAGCCTTTCAAACTGTTCCACTGTTCGTAGTATGCGCATAGTATGCTGACATGCTGCAGTGTCTGCTTGGTGCTGACCAGCAAGTGAAATCTCGGCACGCCGTACAATCCCTTGCAGCTAGCTGTCCAGCGAGGAAAGTCTCGAGTGGAGGCCTCTCGATCTGCTCGCTCGTTCGCCTGGCATTCAGTAGCACTTCATGGCCAAGGACTTCAATTCAAAATAGTTTTCACCACTGCGCTTCTAGCCTTTTTCCTCGTGAACTTGCTGCAAATGTATGAGCTCTGCTGCGCGTGTCCCCTTTGCGTGAGGCCCAGAAACAGCTAGTATCTCCATACTTCGATTGGCTGGGTCGATGTCGTCCAGGTTCTCCCCGCTATCGCCATCACGACTCTAACTGGAGACGATTTCTTCACCATTTTCCGCAAGCAGCAGCTAGCGCAGAAATTTCGCCATCCCTGAGTGAAGGAGATGGAATCCGTTCGATCAGCTCAAAAACTCTTCGTTGTGACTAGAGGAGTAGCAGGGAATATTTTACCGGAAGCCCATTGACTTCCCTGACTGCTGAAACCCTTCCTGCCATGACTGCTACTTCTTCAAACAAGCGAGATGCTCTTTGGTTCCACTTCACTGCACTCGAGCGTCCACGCGACACAACCTTTTTACAAAACATCATTTTTCTCAAAAAAATGATTTTCACCCTAAGCCTGGTTTTCGCAGAAGTTGGGCCATGTAGTATAACACTTTTGTGAGATCCGTGCGTTGTGTGTGTGTGTGTGTGTGTGTTTTTCTCATCGTCTTAATATTTCCGGCGAGGTTGCGGTTCTTTTTTTTGCTCAGGGGAGGTATGTTAGGTACCTCCTCCCGTACAATCTTACCTACAACCGGTTAACCTTTCCTAAGCTGGCCGGCCTGCATGCACCCGTACTACGTCATACTCACCTTTCGTTCCGTTGGCCTGGGTAGCTACTTGCGCGCCCATGTTTGCCACCCATGTTTGCCATAGCTACCCAGGCCCTTTATATTGCGTTGTTTTCTCAGTCGAGCTCTCTCTCTCTCTTCAATAATCTCGCTCTCTTCCATAATCTCTCACTCTTCAATGTAGTCGTTCCGTTCGTCTTGGTCTCTTGTCTCGTCATCTATAATAAATGTCGTTCCCAATAACTTGTTCCCGTTGTCCGTTGTAATGTCTGGAGAAGATGTCGTCAGTTGTCCTAATTCATACTCAACAATAGCACTAAGTTCACATCTGATAACCAGCTACGAGAACAACTTTAATGAGACTACATGCTTCTTTCGTTTACAAAGAACAGGATTATGCAAACTGATACAGACAGCTTCCAGAGCCTTCAACTGCGTCGCAAGGGGACGGTTGAAATCAACCTGGGGCAAAATTTCAACCTGGGCGAAGCGCAATGTGTCATGTAAATGCACCAGTCTGTGTTCATGGCGGGTTGAAACTTCACCGAAGTCGACCTAAACCCGGGTTGAAATGCCTCACGTAAACACAGCCTATATCTGTACCTGTTATATCATTCGGCAAAAGCTCGATTGCTTGGTGCGGCTGCCTTATATGGTATCTATTGTTCTCCTGACTGACCGTAATTCCCTGTCTGTCTCTCTCTCTCTCTCTCTCTCTCTCTCTGATTTCTCTCTCTCTCTCCCTCTCTCTCTCTCTCTGTCTCTCTCTCTCTCTCTCTCTCTCTCTCTCTCTCTCTATCTATCTATCTATCTATCTATCTATCTATCTATTTCTGTCACTCTCTCCCCTTGTCTCCTTGTCTCATTATGTTCTGTTTTGTGTGCTCCACCAGCTGACCAACACACGGGCACAGTTTTGTCGAAGGTTTGCAACGGGAAACAGTTTTTCATAGCAGCAGACGGTACTAAGCCAATGGGCTCTGTTTCTCTCAACTCCATGCAGTTACATGATCTGAGATGCCCTGCAGATTCCGTAACAGGCACTGATCTTAACGCAGACACGTGCGTCTTGGAGTTTGCAAGGAAAGCCAACCTACTGTTCGGTATCCAGTATCCGTCCTTGGCAACCCAACTTATGGGTTATTCATACAGCCTGGTACCAGGGAACGTGGGCAACGCGATTTCTTCTTTTCATCATGCCACGGTGATGATGTGCAAAGGTGAGACACATTGTATGGCTTTAAAACCCCCCTGAGCGCAGGTCTGTTTGCCAGTGCGCCACGTATATAAAAAGACAATGGCCACTTGCGAAAGTTTTCAAGCCTTGATTTTGTCAGGTAGTGACATCTTTGTGAGCCACAATTACAGGCAGTGGTCCAGCCGAGTGCACAAAGTCCAACCACATTGGTATTAAATTCTGCTGAGCTAAAAATGGCCAGAGACAAACCACACAAGGCAATAATTATAAATCATTATTACGTCTCGCGTTAAACCTGCTTGTGGAAGGAGGCTAACGGTATTTTTGTTTTAAGGGTTGCTTCTGGCCAGCCTCAGTTCGATGAGCAATGCCATGCTCCAAACTAAACGTTTTTTTCTAGATCAAGTGGTCCATAACTCGCTCAGTCTGATCTGTGCGCATGATGTGATCTAGTCGCTACAGTAGCCTACTGCTAGACCTAGTGGCTACAGTTATGAGTAGCCTGCTGCTAGATCTAGTAGCTACAGTTATGAGTAGCCTGCTGCTAGATCTAGTCGCTACAGTAGCCTGCTGCTAGATCTAGTCGCTACTGCCGGTTTAATGTGCTTCCAGTATTGCCATTGTTTCGTGCCATGTTGTGGATCGCTTACCGCATTCACCCACATACATCCATACATACAAGTATGGACTCGGATGGAGAGCCCAGGATAAATTTACTTCCCCCGCGTCATCGAAATTGTCGCAGTTTGACTTTTGACATAAAACGAGGTATTTACTCACCAGCACTCGTATCAGAGGCAAAGAATCGGACATAGGCGATAGTCATCAGTATAGGGTAACGGCAAAGTTCTATTTTCTGTTATTGGAATCTGAAATTTTTGAACTAGACGCAATTTCTTCGCTGATGTCGCTGCGATGGTAATTTCAACTCGCTGAGATCAGTCAGGCGTTGCAGGCTGCACATTTCTCGTGCTAATGGCCATTCACTCGAGCCTCATCACTGTTTTACCTTAGCTGGGGTGAGAATGACTTCGTGGAACAAGTAGCAGCGCTCGGAGAAACATCGAGGGGTCAGCAAACTAAATGCATGCAACGGCGATAAAATGTGTTGCTCTGGCTGAGACACTCAGTACAATCATGATTTTAACTGCAAGAGCCGCGTACTCTGGTGTAGACTCTACACGAAGTGCTAGTGATGCACGTGCAGGTGCCGTACCAGTGATGCTGAAAAGGAGGGCGCGCTGGATGATAGTACACTTACCTGCATGAGCTGTGACCACACAGGTAAAATAAATGGGCATGCCACGGCTAAAAAAAGTTCATTTCAAGATCGAGGTGGTTCCGCCGACGGTAATCAACCGACCTCGCAACGATCGTTTATTCTTACTAGGCTTCGTTGGGGGTGAAGTAGAAATCATCCAGAGCTAGCAGACGACAAGCATAGCAGCTCTTGTCCTGTGGAGAAAGTCAAAGCGTCTGAGATGAGGCGCGACCAACTTTCAACCTTCCTTGAAATATTTCGTAACGATATTTTTGCGTCCATTGACATCAGCTACGACGAGGACTTCATCTCTGCATGAAACCTCTCAGCCCAACTGTCCGCGAACGTTACTCTAGTCTTCAGACTATCATACTGTGTAAAAGGTTTTGAATGGTTTGGCCTATGGAGTTGTCAGTAACAAGTGGCAAGTCACTAGTCAAACTGCGACAATTTCGATGATGCGGAGGAAGTATAGTAAAGAAAAAAAGGACTAATAAACTACAAGTTACGCTATAATTGTCCACTAGCACCACCAGTTACTAAACAATCAGCTCATGCAATAACATTGCACGACACTGACCGACGGTACTGACGTTCTACAACTAACTGGCTAACAGCTCTAGCACATCTTGGATGCGCACTCCAACGGCCTTCCAACTTGGAAGGTTCTAAGTTATAGAAACTCCCCTTTTATTGATCTTCGCATCTTTAAACCACACAAGTTGTGTGAAATGTTGCTTTGCGTCCTTGAATCGTGATTTGACCGTATTGTCCGTTGGTCTTTCCAGTATCGTCATCGACATGCATGAACATCCGCCAACGTCCTTCACAGCTGAGACTTTCAGCTCGTGCTTGTCTTGGTTGCGCTGACCTTCCCCTCCTCGTGTTTTTTCTCCAACTTAGAACCTTCCAAGTTGGAAGGCTGTTGGAGTGCGCATCCAAGATGTGCTAGAGCTGTTAGCCAGTTAGTTGAAGAACGTCAACGCCGTCTGTAAGGGTTGGTTCACATATCGCCGGTACGCGCCGGGAGTCACCGGCGGTGGGCCTTTTGCAACCTCTCCCTGCGCATTGCGATTTTGTGAAGCAGTGCAGTCGTAACAAAATCATAAGGTAAATAATCGCAAGGAATCGCCGGCAAAGTTGGGCGGTGCCCAACTCTTGCGATCTGCCCCGGCGCTGATCTCGTGGAATTTTGACCAAAAGTAGATTGTGAACCGTCGGTGATCGCCAGTGCCTGGAGCCAGACTTTGTCAAAATTTGGAACCAATACTTGTCCTAAATTTTCCTAAATCGAAGCTAGAGAGGAGGTCCATTCGCAATTCTTGTAGTCGCTTCAAAGTGGCAAATAAGTCAGCATACCAACCCGTCCTTCTCGGATGATCTGCTTGACTGTTGTGCAACTTATGAGGTAAATACAATTGAATCAAATAAAAAATACGATGGATACATTGGCAAGTTCTTGTGACCTCATCAACGTTTGCAAGCATAATTTCAACATCATTGCTTACTAGACTGCAATAAAATGTGTAGAAGTAGTTTCCTGATCTCCAGTAAAAGGTAGCACCGAGTGGCCATCACCGAAAGACCTTGAACCACTGTAGAAACAACGGATTCAAGCTTCAATTGGCAAACCTGTCGTAGCATTTGGGCACATTCTGTACTGCATTGTAGTAGATTTGGTACTCGAACCGTATGCGCAACGGATCGGGAGCTGGCTCACCGCCGGCGTCTTGCGGCGCCGATTTTGCTTATGTGAACCAACCCTCAGTGACATTCAATGTTATCGCATGAGCTGATTGTTTAGTAACTGGTGGTGTTAGGTATAGGATATTGACCAAGACGAGGTCTATATGGGAAATATAGGCCGAGTAAAAGACCGAGGTCCGCCGAGGTAGACGATATTGATAACTCCTCCAGACAGCTGTTTCGGTAAGACATAACTCATCAGTGAAGGTAGATGTTGAATGATTAAAATATAGAACAAACTGTTATCAAACAGGGTTATAAGTATTAGAAGTTATCAATATCGTCTACGGAAGTGTCCTCACAGTGGTGATGGTTGTGTGCAGGAGGGTCTAGTCGGTTAAGAGTGCAGTGTAATGGTGGAGGTGACTCAACATTTTCTTCAATGGCCGAGAGCTCTGTCGCACCCTGTCACAGTATAAGCTTTGCTGCCAATTAACCGCATGAACGATAGTGGAGGTGACTCAGCAAAGCTTGTACTGTCTTTCTAAAGCTGCTCTGTGTAGGGTCACTGGGGAGGTTTAGTCCCACGTAACGGATACGGGGACGTGGTTGATACACGTAAAGTTCATGCAATGGACCCACGTTCCCAATGTTGTTTTCAGTCGCACGGAACAAACAGCAACATGAAGCGAAGGGCCCAAACTTGGCCAAAGACGAAGCTTCGGGAAGCTCATCGAATTTTTGATTTCGTGCTTCGGAAACTCCTTCAGCTGGGCACCCTCACAGCTTGCACAATGCGCTCCATTCTGATTTTCACCCACATTCTGAAAACTTCTTCAGCTGAGCACCCTCACAGCTTTCACAATGTGCTCCATTCTGATTTTCACCGACATTCTGGCTGAGCCTCCATACATGGCATGTCGTGAATCAGAAAACGGCTGTACGTGGGCCACTGAGTATCACGTGGTACAAACACACACACACACACACACACACACACACACACACACACACACACACACACACACACACACACACACACACACACACACACATGTCAAGTAAAGTGAAGTAAAACCTGGTTTAAGCGACCTCTCGTTTTAGCGACCGCCTGCTCTTTACGACCGTTTTTCCATGCACGAACAGTTCTACACAGACACTGTGGGACCTGGTTCTAAAGACCACCTGCCTGTAACGACCGCTTTTCCTTGCACCGTGGGGTGGTCGCTTAAACCAGCTTTTACTCTATACATAGATTAAGTGGGACTGAACACCCCCCCCCCCCCCCACTGGCACACCAGAACTCCCACATAGCATTGTGTATTTCGCTTCTGCTCTTGTAGGAGTTGAGAGCACTCTGATGTGGGGTGGTGCCTCTGCTGTTTGTGTTAAGCAGAGCTCACTGACTTGTCAGTTTGAGCACTCTGGCAAGTTACGTTCGGGCCTGGGTTAAATCTGGCTTCGGGAAATATTAAGTTTCATTGCTATCAGGTTCGGCCTCATTTTCTCTGTGCTGCGCTGATGAGGCCACAAAGGACGAAACAGTTCTCTCCGCAGATTGAGTATTCACATGTATGCCTACTGTAAGAGCAGCAATGTCACAGGCAGCATCTCATAAGTTCGCACTTTATTTGTAAACGTAACGCATTTCGAATAGACTTCACCCCCCCCCCCCCCTACCTCCCCCCTCTATCCGAAAGTCTTATCGCTCATTTTCTGTGCATGTCCATGGCATGGGCCATGGACATGCATGTCAAAGTACTGTAGAGCGGGTAATTTTAGCGACGTAAAAACCCTAGCAAATTTAGCGATCTACTCATTTTCGCTAAAGTTTCAAGTCGCTAATCCGTTGAGACATTAGTAGTGCACTGGTGACCCGTGAGTAAAATCGCTGCAAATCGCTAGAATATACCGTCGCTAACCCGTTGACAATGGGAAAACGCTAAAATTGATAGTCGCTAAAATTACCCGTTCTAGAGTGCCGTCATCTTTTGAGAACAAGTTATCGTACATGTACACGCACATAACCAGAGTTCCTCCACAACTACTGTACTGTAAAGTGTAAACTGTGACTTTGAGCTGGCCAGGTACACCATTGCACACCGTTTGATGATACCTGTGTGACATTTGACACCTCCGAGTAGTCTGCATGCATGCAGTGCAAGGGTTAGCTGATCTGCAAACACAGGTAGATCTACACCTAAACCCACTCATTTACTGAAGCGATCTAGCACAATGTCATGCACTGCATGCACAGTATGCACTACAGTCAAATCTGTCGTAAGCAACCGCCCCTTGGTGCAAGAAAAAGCGGTCTCTTACGGCAGATGGTCTCTTACGGCAGATGCATGGTAAATCCGGCATACCGGCCATGCATATAATTATGCTTCCATGTACTCAAATTGACGAGAATAATGTGATTTTTAATATCATTTTATTGCATATTCAATAGAATATAGGGCCATGGCGCCAGGGCCAGTCGATCGCACTTGCAAGACAGCGCATTTTCACACCTTGCAGTTGACAGCGCACTGGCAAGTACAGTTTTGCACCTGACTGAACGTGGGTCGTGGTCGCTTACAGCAGATTTGAATGCAGCCACCGTGCATGAAATCGCGGTCGCTGGTCGCGCACAGCAGATGGTCGCTCTGGACAGATCAATTTGTATGTGAACCCGTCGGTGCACGGAAAATCGGTCGCTAACGGTAGATGGTCGCCTACAGCAGATTTGACTGTAGTACACATCCAGAAAATGTGCGAACTGTCATTTTTCTATTCGAAAAGGGCGCTATGCCCCTATCCCATTTCGAAATGCGTTACGTTTAGAAAATAAATGCGAACTTATGAGATGCTCCCTTAACGAACATTTCATTGTAACGAGATAACGGATTTGAAAGAATCGTCAACATTTGAAGTCGTCATGTGCAAAACGATAATATATAATATATTATCGTTTTGCACATAACGACTTCAAATGTTATGTTCATGACTTGTACAGTCATTTGTCGGTTTTGAGACAGAATTTGTTAGAACTTGACCTCGCTAACCCACACAAATCCGGAGATCATTAACTTTAATTGACGTTATAATATCTGGTCTTACAGTATGTGAGAAGTTACCATGAGACGGAGCCTGAGGTTTTCCCATGTTGTCTGATCTCGGGCTCGCTCTCTTTTCTTGTGCGTTCACAGAGTCTGCTGAGTGCAAGCCGCAGTCTGAAGCCAACGTGTATTTGGCCGATGATTCCGCCAAGCACACTATCCTAGCCAGAATACGGGCGCCGGTCAATATTACTCCGAATCCAAACGCCATTTCGATGTTTCTAAATTGGTTTTATACTGATGGCAAACCAACCGCTGTTGGTGACTTGGAGCTGATATTCAGCAGTAGAGCGTCCAAATCCTCGGACTACGTGATAGCCACCCAATCAGACCAGGACTATTGGAGTAGCGCGTCTGCAGCAGCCTATGGCAAGCCGCGCGTCATCGACGTAAACTTTGGCAGGTGGACATATCAGCCGTTTTGCAAGGTCGCCGTTCGGATTCTTCGACGCGGTGTCCCGCAGTTGCGCGACCCTCGGTCGCTATACACTGCCGCGGCGCAGGGGAATTCCCGTGTGCGTGTGGCCGTGCTGAGCTTTGCAGTTACCTCTCCCGCCACTGGTCTGTCAAACCTGTCGGTCTGCGGTGGTGATAATGCAGCCGTAGTGCAGAGACTATCTGTTACTCGTGTATCGAGCAGCGGAGGAGGGCTGCAGTTTGCACTGGATGCCGATTTCACTGGAGTGACCGACTGGTCCTTGGTAGCGCGCATCGACCTGTGTATGGAAGACAATGCACAGAATAAGACGGCATACAATAGACCGCATCTCTACACTGCTCTGCACAATGCTCGGTCAAACACCAGCATTCATGTTCAATTCGTAAACGGTAAGTGACCATGCCTCTTTCAAATCTTTCATATCTTTTTTGCCACATGTTATCCCATATCAAGGCCACAGCCAGCTAAAACATGTCTTAGGGTGAAACATGTATTCCAGAAAATTGTCATTTTGCTTGCCAGCTGCTTGGACTAGACACCCAAGTAAGTGTGAGAACGAAGTTCGACAAGATGCTCACACCGCCGGTTGATGAATGAAGCACAGCATGCACGTGCTTGACAGAAACTATTCTTCATTCCGTCATGCCTCCAAAAATTACCAACCCCACACAACCTTGCTCGTACTACTGTCTGGAGAAGTGACGCCACCCAAGTAGTCAGTAGAAACCTGATCCTCCGCCTTCTCCCTCTGACGCACCGTGCGAGCTTGACGATGATGGGCCGGCCAGTTGAAGTAGTTGTGGCTGCGACACGGAGTTTCCTGAGAATGTTCAGAAGTGGAATGGATGGTCCAGACAGGCGACATCTGGACTAGGCGTGCAGCGCATCAGATGGAGTCTGCAAGTTACCTTTGAAAAGAAAGCAAAATCAATTTCACTTCTATGAAACTATGGTAGTTCGGCCTACTTAGCGCGTAGCTGTACTGATGAGGCCCTTATGGCCGAAAGAGCTTGCTGTCTACAGCACTGGGTATTATGCTTCTCCACATTCGTCTTGTTGAGCATTCTCGGTAGGCTGCTCTAGTGCTGCTGCATTACAAATTGCCTGTCTCTGAATTTCTCTCTTTTTCTTTCTCTCTCTATCTCTCTCTCTTTCTCTCTGTCTCTCTCTGTCTGTCTCTCTCTCTCTCTCTCTCTCTCTCTCTCTCTCTCTCTCTCTCTCTCTCTCTCTCTCTCTCTCTCTCTCTCTCTCTCTCTCTCTCTCTCTCTCTCTCTCTCTCTCTCTCTCTCTCTCTCTCTCTCTCTCTCTCTCTCGCTCTCTCTCTCTCTCTCTCTCTCTCTCTCTCTCTCTCTCTCTCTCTCTCTCTCTCTCTCTCTTTATCTCATTGCAGATGGCAGCTGTGAAACCGGTTCTCATCAATGCTCATCAAACAGCCGGTGTTTGGTACAAATTCATGAATTGATCTGCCTGTGTGCGCATGGCTTCTCTGGACCAACATGCACAAGTACGTTGCAATCCATCCATGATGTATGCTTGTTGCCATGACAATGTCTAAATGTACGATCCTGACCCCATCCTAATAAGGGCAGTCGCTCATCATACCTGACTAGCAGCATACAGCGTTTCTCACTCATCATACCTGACTAGCAGCATACAGCGTATCTCATAGGATTAATTCCTTCAGTCTGGCTGACATGACGCTTGTCCCTAGGAAGATTGCAATGCAGCATGGTTCTGTGCCACCTTCTGGTGAGTTAAAACCTTTTATTAAATTTTAATCCAGCAAAGGCAGAAGCTTAAATCAAGGGGGTCTCTGAGAATTTTCGTTGTGATACACAATAGTGTATAACGCCCCTTGGCAGACTTCCACTTCATATTGCATCCTGATGATGGCAATTTGCTTAAACGTTGAAAATGATTCTGTGAAATGAAGTGAGTTGTGAATTTGTAGTGCCCGAGGAATGAGCATGTGTGCTCACGAATTCTCTTCGATATGCAATTGGGCACTATTTTAAAAGAAAGAAAAATATTTAAAGGATTGTTTTCTGTTGCCATAGAAATTAATCTGGCAGGAGTTGCCCTGACACTTTCTTTGCCACAGTCCCAGGGTCGCTGTACATGCTCAGTTTGTGCGTTGTCATAGCATATGTGTCCAGGTCTGTAGAATGTACACACACCGCATTCCATGTCTGCTTGCTCTACCCCTATGTTCGGCTGATGACAGTTGGGCAAGCAAGTTTGCTAGTCCTGGTCGGACGCTAGACCTTATGTCAGTTGTACAGATTCATGGAATCCCGCAGAATCCCGTAGACCCGCTTGGGTGTTCATTGTGTGCTATGCATGTGTAGCGTTGGCAGGCTGGTGACTTTCACAGCGTATAGCGTATAGTGTATATTTTTACCTTATCCCCACACGTAAGCGTATCCCCGTACGTTAGCGTATCCCCGTACATTAGCGTATGGATTCTGCCTGTATAAATGCTGTTACATTTCAGTTCAGTTCAATGTTTAATTAATAACAGTGTGTTCACTGAGACCCTTGTGGATCTTTGCCTCCGAGAGACTGCGGCACGCTACACATGCGCATTTGACCAATTTTAGCTTCATAATTAATGGCAAGCAATCGCTTTTCCATCTTCTTCACTTTGGTTAGAACTAGTGACTAGCTAGATCTTGGTCAGAAAAGGGTTTCAGAGATTTCAGGACCAATTTCTTAGTGGAAATAGCAGAAAACACAATAGGGTCCTGCACATTCAACACCCAACTGGGTCTACGGGATTTTATGGATCTATACAACTGGCAAAAGCTTATGCACGGACGGCAGTTCGGCAAGAGGAATAAACCCAGGAAATTGTGTATCGGAGTGCGCAGTTCTCTTGTGTCATTGTCAGTGCTCTGAAAAATGAATTCATTTCCCTTTGTAATGGTTCCATTCCCCTCTGTTTTATGGTTCCATAGTTCATACCCAGTCCGGTGTAAGGGCTCCATACCCCTGTGTAAGGTGTCATACCGATGTATAAGGGTTCCGCCCGCTGTACAAGGGCTCCGCCCCCTGTGCAAGGGTTCTGTCCACCTGTGTAAGGACTCCATACCCCTGTGCAAGGGTTCCCCTGTGCAAGGGTTCCATACCCCTGTGCAATGGTTCCGTACCCCTGTGCAATGGTTCCATACCCCTGTGCAATGGTTCCGTACCCCTGTGCAAGGGTTCCCCCCTGTGCAATGGTTCCGTACCCCTGTTTAAGGACTCCATACCCCTGTGCAATGGTGCCGTACCCCTGTGTAAGGACTCCATACCCCTGTGCAATGGTTCCGTACCCCTGTGCAAAGGTTCCCCTGTGCAATGGTTCCGTACCCCTGTGTAAGGACTCCATACCCCTGTGCAATGGTTCCGTACCCCTGTGTAAGGATTCCATACCCCTGTGCAATGGTTCCGTACCCCTGTGTAAGGATTCCATACCCCTGTGCAATGGTTCCGTACCCCTGTGTAAGGATTCCATACCCCTGTGCAATGGTTCCATACCCCTCTGCAAGGGTTCCCCCTGTGCAATGGTTCCGTACCCCTGTGCAAGGGTTCTCCCTGTGCAAGGGTTCCCCCTGTGCAAGGGTTCCCCCTGTGCAATGGTTCCGTACCCCTGTGCAATGGTTCCGTACCCCTGTGTAAGGACTCCATACCCCTGTGCAATGGTTCCGTACCCCTGTGCAATGGTTCCGTACCCCTGTGTAAGGACTCCATACCCCTGTGCAATGGTTCCGTACCCCTGTGCAAGGGTTCTCCCTGTGCAATTGTTCCGTACCCCTGTGTAAGGACTCCATACCCCTGTGCAATGGTTCCGTACCCCTGTGTAAGGACTCCATACCCCTGTGCAATGGTTCTGTACCCCTGTGTAAGGACTCCATACCCCATTTGCAATTGTTCCGTACCCTGTGTAAGGACTCCATACCCCTGTGCAATTGTTCCATACCCCTGTGTAAGGATTCCATACCCCTGTGCAATGGTTCCGTACCCCTGTGCTAGGGTTCCATCCCCTGTGTAAGGTTCCATACCGCGGTGCGCTGTCTTCACCCTCTGTGTAAGGGTTCCGATCACTTGTGCCAGGATTCCATTCCGCTGTGCAAGGGTTTCATTCCCCTGCAGTATGTTTCAAGCCCCTTATAACGGTTTAGTGCAAACATTGGTGGACTGGTTGGCGCCTTTCTCATGCTTTATTGAAAGACAGGACACGTAAGCTGAAATACAGAATGAATGCATTGCCCATTCCTGGTGTGTTTCGTCCTTGTGTTAGGTTGGCATGGTAACATTGGCCAGTGCAAGGGCGATGAATACATTGTGGTGTTGCCGGACTACTCGGTGTATGCTGAGAAGAGAACGGCGGAGCAGGCAGCAGCGGCATGCTCCGCTTATGGACTCTATTTGCCGCCGAGCAAAAGTGTGTGTCTCCTCTCCGCACTTGCTGCCTTCGCTCAAAATGGCAAACATGAAAGATTCTTCATGAACAATGGCAGGACTCTGGTTGACTATCAGGGTGGTACCAGCACACCTGGGCATCTGGACCAAGGACGGTTTGTCTGTTCTGGTAAGTGCTACTGAACTAATGGTTGACGGACGATTGCTATGATGTGCTTGCATTTGTATGGGATAAGAACACGAATCTTACCACCCGCAGGTTGGTGTGTATATTTGTGTGTGTGTGTGTTCTTGTGCGTGTGTGTGTGTGTGTGTGTGTGTGCGCGCGCGCGCGTGCGTGCGTGTGGGTGTGTGTAGGTGGGTGTGGGTGAGTGTGTGTTCTTGTGTGTGTGGAGGGGGGGGGGGTGCGTGTTTGTGTGTGTGTGTGTGTGGGGGGGGGGGGTGTTTGGGTGTGTGTGCGTGTGTGTGCGTGTGTGTGTGTGTGTGTGTGTGTGTGTGTGTGGAAGGGGCACAGCTCGAGATTGATTTCCGCCAGGGTCAAGTTCGAGTGTGGACGGAACCGTTCGCCGTTGTGTATTCACATCGCCGTCGGATATGCACCGACGTTCGCCAGACCGCGCGCTGAAAAAACTGCGTTTTATGACAGCTTGCAGACCTTCATTGACAGCGTTCCAAAGTCAGACCAGTATTGCATTCTTGGTGACTTCAATGCTAGAGTTGGAGTTGGCGAGGTGGATGATGAGTGGAGTGACGTGCGGGGGGCAGCATGGTTTTGGTCGTATGAACTCAGCAGGAGAGGAGCTGCTCAATTTCTTGGCAAGAAATGGAGCTGTTGTATGCAACACATTATTCAAGAAGAAGGAAATCCATAAACATACCTGGTTTCATCCACGCTACAAGCACCCGCACTGTATTGATTATTGCATCATACCACAAGCACATCGGTCGCAGTGTTTGGACTGCCAAGTAATACGTAATGCGGAATGCGACACTGACCATAAGTTTCTAGGCATGAAATATCGTCTAGGTGCCATGCCCAGTTCACATGTCTCCCGCAATGGTGTTGGTTGATCGAAACCCATTGCTGTGTCGCGCCTGCGTAGTCGTGCTCCGGAGGATATGGAGGTTGCGCGTGAGAGATTCTCCAAGGGCATGGATGCCGAGCTGGAGAAGGTTTGGACCCCGAATCCGTCCATCGAGGAGTTGTGGAGTACCCTCAGGATGACCACCATCAACGTTGCCAGCGACTGCCTGGGTCGGGAGAGGCGCCGACAGCCAGAATGGTTACAGACAAGCGCACTGAGATCGAGTCGGTACTCCGTGATCGGGACAGTTGTTACTCAATCTGGATGTCAACGCGGAAGGTCAGTGATCTGGGTTTGTACAAGAAATCTCGTAGTGCGGCGCGGTGCACCATGCGGAGGCTGAAGCGAGACTGGCTGCTGAGACAGGCAAAGGATTGTGAATGGTTTGGCTTGACGGCGAAGAGCGGTTGGCAGTGAATCGGTAACATTAAGACCACCTTGGGTGGTATGCGTCCCCGTGCAGCAACTGCTATCAGAAACAAGCAAGGAGAGATCTGTGACACGGCTGAGGCCACCGGTGGAAGGTGGCGTGATAATTTCGATGGCCTCCTGAACATTGCCAGTGCTTACGACTTGGAAGTAGTGGACTCGATCGAGCAGCGGCCGGTTATGACGGAGCTTGGTGTCGTGCCTGAGTGTGATGGGATTTGGCGTGCATTGCGAGGGATGAAGTGTGGCAAAGCATGCGGCGGATCCAAGATATCTGTGGTGATGCTGAAGTACGGTGGCCCTACCCTGATTGCGAAGTTGCATGAACTGATACGGGTGGTGTGGGGGACTGGCAGCGTTCCACAGGATTGGTCTGATGCTATCCTCGTCCCTATCCCCAAGAAGGGTGACCTGGGGTCTTGCGACAACTGGCGTGGAATATTGTTACTGGATGTGGCTGGAAAGCTAGTTGCTCGCATGATTGCCAATCGTCTGCAGGTTCTCGGAGAAAGGTACTTGCCTGACTCGCAGTGTGGTTTCCGCAGGGGCCGTGGTTGTTCGGATATGGTGTTTGCTGTGCGGTAGATCCTGGAAAAGTTGCACGAACATGCCACGAAAGGTTTCGCTGTATTTATCGATATGAAGAAAGCGTACGACTCGGTTCCGCGGAGTGCTATGTGGAGTGTGCTGGCTAGACTTGGCGTCCCAGGGAATCTGATCACCATCATCAGTTCCTTCCATAGCGACATGACTGCCAGTATTCGTGTGGGTGGAGACCTGCTTGCACCGATTCGGGTTGAGAATGGCTTGCGGCAGGGTTGCACTATGGCCCCAGTTTTGTTTAACCTATACATGTGTGCAGTCTTCGAGAGATGGTGTGGCGTGATTGCTGATAATGGTGAGCTGGGAATCCCACTCGTCCAGTTTCGGAGGGAGCGGCTTTTCAACACCAGATTGGCAGAGTATCGCAGAGTTCGGCTGCCGGAGTGTCAGTTTGCGGATGATTCAGCCCTGCTCGCAGTTATGCATGCCGGTGCTGAGAGGTATCTATCCTCGTTCAGGGATGTAGCTGGTGCGTTTGGCCTTAGTGTCAATGTGTCCAAGACCAAATTCATGGCGGCTGGGGCTGGTATTGTGGATGCCGACCAGACCCCTTTGGATGGTGTTGTTGACCACGTTGAGGCCTTTCGGTATCTCGGTTGTCATATTACGCCAGACGCCCGGAGCTCCTTTGATGTGTCTCGGCGAGTTGCTGCTGCATCGGGTGCGTTCTCTACACTGCGGGAGTCGGTTTTCGACAGTGGTGACTTCAGCATCGCCATCAAGCGCATTGTGTATGGATTTACTGTCCTGGCGGTCCTTCTTTATGGATCTGAGAGTTGGACCGTCAGGCAGCGTGATGTCCGTCGCCTGGAGTCCTTTCACCTGCAGTGCGTGCGTTCCATTCTGAAGATAAATCGTGGCCGGCAGATCGAGGAGCACATCTCCTCTCTCCAGGTTCGCAGGTTGTGGGGCGATATGGAGGAGATCGCGGATAAAGTCAGAGTCCGCCGACTTCGATGGCTTGGCCACGTGTCCCGCATGCCAGATCGGATCCCTCGTCACCTGCTGTACGGCGCGTTACCCTCCAAACATCCACCGTATGGACCCCGTAAGCGCTGGAAGGACTCCGCGAAGTGCGACTTGATGGCTGTTGGCGTTCCTCTGGAGCACCTTGGTGACATCGTCCAAGATCGACAGGGATGGCGGGTCACCTGCCGTGATGCTGTCGACGCTATTGTCCAGTCCCGCATGGAGCCTGTGGCGAAGCCCCTCATCTGTGGCACTTGTGCGCGCAGTTTTCGTCGGGCGCGGGATATTGCGAGGCACAAGTGTAACGCTGTTCACGCGGCCCGCGCTGAGTATGGCGTTCCCCGCCCGGTGGACAACACGTCTCCTGGTCTGCTCCGTTTGGGGCCACATAGCCAGTCATGGCAGTGGAAGAAGGAAGGAAGGAAGGTGTGTGTGTGTGTGTGAGTTTGTGTGTGTGTGTGTGTGTGTGTGTGTGTGTGTGTGTGTGTGTGTGTGTGTGTGTGTGTGTGCATGCATACGTGCGTGTGTGCATGCATGGGTGCGTGCGTGTGTGCGTGCATGTGGAATAGGTGGCGAGATGTGGTGTCAACTGACCTGGCGAGCCTTGGTGTGACCACCTGGCTTGAGAGTTGCCAATATCGGCTCGGCTGGAGACAAGTTGCGAGTAGCACTCCACCGTCACAGCCCACTCCTGATCCTCTTCTCCGTGTCTGTGGACGCCCATTTCGTTGACCAGGTGTGTGTGGGTGTGGGTGTGGGGGTGTGGGTGTGGGGGGGGGGGGGGTGGGGTGTGTGTGTGTAGGTGTGTGTGAGTGTGTGTGTGTGGGTGGGGGGGGGGGGGTGAGTGTGTGTGTGTGTGTGTGTGTGTGTGTGCGTGTGTGTGTGTGCGTGTGTGTGTGTGTGTGTGTGTGTGAGAGAGAGAGAGTGTGTGTGTGTGTTGTGCCAGCTAGTTCGGTTGGTGGGTACACTTATGCCGGATAGTGGTGGGTTTGTTGCCAACGGGCTCGGCTGCTTGAAGTTGTAATGTCGTACCTACCACCTTTGTTGGTTTCAGGGTTCATATACTTTCTATTTGAAGTATACATACCTGCTAACCATGGACTACTTCTGGCTAGATTAACTCTTGCGTTATCATGGTGCTAGTGAAGCTTGTATATGATCCACTCTGATTTAGCCACCCACGCTAGTAGCAAGTTGTACCTTCACTGGGGGCAGGGTTAACTGCAGGTGGATACCTGGACGGATACCCTGATGCCGTCAATCCTTTTTCTGCACCTTGTCCTCACCCACTTACTGAGGTGTGGTGGGCCCATAAGTGGCGGTTTCAGGTCCACCCAGAGTTTTGGGGATTTCAGGGGTGTCGGCCGTTGAGAGGTTCAATAGCCAATTGAGTCATCTTTCCAAGATTCCTTTTGAGTCTCTCCCCTCTCCAGGGGAGACCCACATGACCAGTTTTGGCAGTGAGCAACAGGTACAAGTGTGTGTGTGTGTGTGTCCCATATGGTGCAGTGGTATGTGAAGCGATTTCCAATCGATAGGTTGCGGGTTCGATTCCCGACGATTATGGTCACACACGTCTTTCT